TATATATATATATATATATATATATATATATATATATATATATATATATATATATATATATATATATATATATATATATATATATATGTAGATATATATTTCCAGCCCTGCACGCCCATATATATATATATATATTTTACACGTAAAAAATGGGAAAAACAAATAATGTACCGAACTCGGCAGGTCGGCCTAGAACGAACCGGGCCGATTCGGTCATCGGCCTAGGCTACGGCGGATTTAGACCCCCCGGCCGGGCGTGCAACATAGCTCTCGACGAATCTGGCCTTCCACCTCTTAAGTTGCGCTTAAAAATTGGTGCACCTGTGATGCTTTTGCGAAATTTGTCACCGAAGCAAGGACTTTGCAACTGTATAAGGCTGATTGTGAAGAAGATCGTTAATGATGATTTGTTAGAAGTGACAATAATGCATACGGGTAAGACAACACTGATCCCCAAGATTGATTTGACAAGCGATGGTGAGACCACAAGGTTCAAATGGTTTAGGCGGCAATTTCCAATCCATCTTGCTTTTGCTGTTACGATTAACAGGTCGCAAGGACAAACTGTATCGGGTACCGGGGTTTGGCTACTCAAACCGGTTTTTGCGCATGGCCAACTGTACGTTGCTTTGTTGCGTGTTGGTCATCCCAACAACCTCCGTGTTGCATTGCCTGATAAGAATGTTTTTACGAAGAATATTGTATATCATAAACTTTTGGGGTGAGTCATTTTATTTTTTTTTCCGTCGAGCCTTCGCATTCGAAATAATTCTCTCATATTTTTTCTTTGCAGGCGATTCCCGAATGCCGCATAAGTACGACACTTGTGCTAAGAGGAAAGCAATGGCAACCAGCAATACCACTCAATATAATACAAATGTTACATCGAAAGTCGGAGCCGAACATTCGGAGATGTCGGAAAAGAGTGGAAATGATGAGAGGTCGGTGAATCTTGGAAGTGAGCATTCTTGGTGGTGCTCTTGCTGAAGTTGAACATCAATGTTTCGCAAGGCAACACCCTTGCTGATGCTGAGAAGATGGCTGTGGAGGAGGGTGGTGACAATTGTCGTGCTGATGGGAATGGTTTGCGTAGAGGTCTGTCGGGTGGACCTAATAACCTTACATTTGCCAGTGACGAGGATGATGACACTACAGGTGATTCGAAAGAAGAGTATGTTGATTCTACATTCAAAAGAAGAGAGAGTCATGGTAGAAAATTTAATCCTTTGGGTTCGCCCGAATTGCTCGAGCCTACGTTTGCCGACAATCGGGTGGGACAACAACCTGTTGTTGATGAAATGGCAACTCAAATTTTGACAGATGACCCACAAGTCCAAAAAAACGGCAAGTCCTACCTGTCGTGGGGATTCAAACAGTAGAAAAGCGCGGTTATCTGTGGGTACTTGCACGGAATTGATCGGAATACTTCCATCCGATCAGAGATCCCTATGCGGGTATTGACACTGCAGCAGGAACTGTACAAGCGAGATTTCCCTCATGAATTTTTTGAGAAGTGCTACACAAGTTCGCTGTCGGTAAGGACAAAGCGTGGGAAGTTGCTTTACGACTGGTCCGGGCTTAAGGGCGAGGCTTTAATCTCTTAGTGTAGGAGTCGTAGCTTTGCTGAATTGTGTTTGGTTGTATGCTGGGATACTAGTACGATGATGACCATAGTTTGACTTACGTAGTGGTTGTTTTTAGTCTGATTCGTTGAGTCAATGTGGACATAAAGGTAGAATGGTTGTGTACAGGGATGATTTACTGAGTCAATGTGTCAGGCGTGGGTGGATCTATCCAGGTGGATATGGACCTGTCACTTTTTCTGTTGTTTTTTGAATCAGCGTATGGGCCTCTGAACTATCAGTTCGCTTTACGGGTCTGACAGAAAGTAAGCCCTTCGGGGAGTAGAACCCCTGAACCTTTTGTGTACCTTGTAGGAGGTAAGATACCCTTAGACTGAATCAGTGTAAGCGCATCGGTACCAACGCGATTTAGGGATCATTAGACTATATTAGGGACAAAGTCATCATAATAGTTCCTTCGGGTTCTGGAGTTGCCCTCCGTCCGCGAAGTCCGGACGACGTGGACGGGTGCAACTACAGTGGGATAGTTGGAATGAACGGTGGTTCCTGGGTGTTGTGGTATGTCGCGGTTGATTACCTATCGGGTTACTGTGTACGACTTTGTGCTTTGTGTGGTTTGGGCGCATTCGCGCCAGGTGTATGCTGCACTACTTGTGATCCTCACATTCTCAAATTTTGAATGCGCTGAATGCGCTCCTTGTGGATGAACTTGCATCTCTCTCGTTTTGTGCACCGCTCGCTGGACGTGCACGTGTTCGTGATTCGTATTCACAATCTCAACGTAGTGAACGAGAAAAAGATTTTTGCGCCATATCGCAACCACAAAATCCTTTGGGGTTATTGTTGTGCCTGATGATAACGATGCACCCACAATCCGCACGCTTACCTTGCTAGATGGTTTAACGACGTAAAGAAGGTTGGGATCTGAAATATTTTGACTGAGGTGTTTTTTGAAATGTTTGTCAAAAGTGTCACAGTCGTAAAAGATGGACGAATATGGAAAAACTTCCTCGAGTGGAAAAAAAAGAAACTCAATGATATGCGGTTGGAACGACGATCCCCTCTTCCTTCAGACCCGTTGAATGTTTCGGATTTGGAGGCGTCTTCCACATTGAATTCACTTTTGACTGATGAGTGTGTTGCTCTCTCTAATGAGGAGATTACTAGTATGACATTTGCTTTGCCACATTGTCTGACAGAAGGGACCATTCCCAACCATTTCACATATATGCACGGATGCAACACCTTTTGAAAAGGATTTCTCCTGCGATTGCTTCTTGCGCTCCTCATTCCGGTCCGGTCCGTAGACTCCCCCTTCAAGTACCATCTCCTCCAAATTTTCAACGTCTTGCGGTCTATACTCCACCCTCCAATATGTCAACGTCGATTGTCACTATTGCTGTTGTTGTTTGTGCTTCGCCGGCCGCTATGGCTACTCCGTCTCCTGTCAATTGTGTTGTGCACGCTCTTATGCCATCAAAAGACCATTTGCATGTCCATACAGGACCCTTGGAACAACCAAGTTCTTCTAATTTTAACATTACCATTTATGACTCCCTTGAATCTATTGGTCCTAAAAAGACACTTGCACACCTATCCTATCTTGACAGTTCTCACAGGGTGCAAGATATTGTGGAAGCGGTAGCGGAGTTGAATATTAGCATGAACACTTGGAAATGTGTTGATGTTGCAATTCATCTCAAATACAATCGGCAAAGACAAGGTCGATTCGGAACTTTTGAGGAGTATCGTCGCAAAGTGTTGCAACAAGTTTCTGTTCGTGAGGTGCTGCAAGAGTATCGTTCAAGTGAAGGACGTTGATCGGTCTTATAAGAGAGATAGGAAGAAAGAGATGTTGATTGGGCGGTCGTCCAGGCCTTGCCTTAATGGCAGATTTTTTTACAGTCAGCTTCGGTTTCGGTTAAGTAATTGCCCTTACAAGAGAGATAGGAAGAGAGAGAGAAAAAAATGGGGGGCCAGAGAGAGAGAGAGAGAGAAGAAAATAATTTTGACTTGATATTACTGCGCTTTTTTACGTCAAGGTGAATTCCATTACGCAATAATTGTGCCTTGATCATACTGCGGTCACTTGCTAACTTTGATGGAACGATAAATCCTTATATTAAACTTCTTCTCTTTGTATACTCGTGTTGGTCTTTCTTTATTTTTTTCTCTTTTGTTGCTCTTTCTCTCTCTCTCTCTCTTTATATATATATATATATATACACACATATATATATATATATATATCTATATCTATATATATACATATATATAAATAT